ACAGCTTGGGCATTCAAAATCACAGATTTTTAATAGAATTGAAAGCTTTATTCATATTATGTGGTGGGTTTTGCTTTCTAGTTTCATGGAAAGGGAAGGAAGGCCATTAGGTTTGTGTAGAACCCATCCAAACTTGGCTTTCTTCCCTCCATTTTTTATTTGTTTGTTTGGTTCAGTTAGTTATCTCGTTCGTTCGGTCAATAGACATTTCGTGTCACTATTTAGCGTTTTAATATGTCAAAACTCATTTAGAAACTTATTACGAGGTATCAAAATTGATCCAAACCTAATTTTACGAGTTTTTAGGGTTTCTTTTAAAAAAAAAAGAAAAAATTTGGATAATACAAATCATAATCATAAACCAGCTATCCAGTTTTTGTCTCGAGATGAAAAATGAAAATGAAACTCCCAATTACAAATTTGTCAGAGTGTTACCGGTGGTCAGAACCATTAAGAGGTGTCACAAGCTATTGCCACACAAATTATTATTTTTTATTCAGAGTTTGTGTAATGTTTTTATTTCTAACATGCATAGCTAGACTAATAAGAAACTGACACATGACAATACGATTAGGGTTATTTGGATATTATCGTATTGAACGTATTGTACATAGGAGATTACCATTGAGTTTTTTTACTAATGGGACGAGATTATTGGATAAATTTTAGTAGATTCATAGATTTAGATTATGATGATGAACGATGAATGTCATTAGGTTTTTAAAATTTGTTTCTCGTACCTATTTTCAATTTAAATTGAGATAATCGATTTTGTATAGAGTGATTTTGATGGTAGAGAAAATAGACGTATGTGTGTGATATGACGTGGATCTAGAAACCTTAGCACATGGATGATGATGAAGATCTTAGACGGAGTGGGGATGAGGAAATTTTCTCTATTTTCGTCTCTGTCTCCATCTCCTATTTGAATTGTCATTCTCTCGATTATTTTTATAGATATCGGGGCGGCGAAAAATTTAGAATCCGGCAAATTTTTTTTTTTAATATAAAAAATCACTTCAAAATTTTTTTAATCTATAATTTCTATTAAAAAATATAAAACATCCTAATAAATTCAATAATATTTTATAAGTACAACTATATACTTAGACGGGACATGGATTTAGACAAAATTGAGGGTCGGGATAAGAACGAGGAATAAAATCTCTCAAAGATGGGGAATGTAATCTCTAAAGAATTGTTTCTCGGGTGAGTCCTCGCTCTGGTCCCACGGATTTAATAGACATCTTTATATTATGATTTTTTAAAAATTATTAATTTCATTAACGATAATAACTGTCATTAGCATATTTTAAAATAAACGTACAAAATGTATCATAAAAGGCATCATAGTCAGAATCAAAAAGAGAATAAAAGAATAAAAGTTGTTCAAGTGGACACCAAAAATGGCTCCCAATTCACCAATTCTTTTCTCCCTCCTCCGCCACCTTCCTTGCACCTCCGCCCCTTCCGCCGCCGTCCGCCTCTCTCATTGCTCTCCTCCTCACTCTCTCCCTTCTCCTCCGCCTCTTCTATATTATCAGAACGCTTCAGCCACCGCAGCCTCAGGCTTCCCCTGCTGCGCTCCGCCTCGAAACATGGCTGCGCCGATGGAATCGACACCGCTTTCAGCACCAGCCGCCCACCTTCACGATAAGGCTTCACCTTAACGCCGATCGGCCCGCTCATCGACATCAACGGCGGAGGATAACTGAAGATTAAAAATGTAATTAAATGATTAATTATTGACTAATCTATCTTCAGAATATGCTTAAAAGATTAAAATTATTGTAATTGATTGAGTATTCTTATAATTTTACCTCGGTTTGGCGATATTCTTCGCTCGAAGCCTTGAAAACTGCACTGATTTTTCGCCGGAGGCAGACGACGGCGACACCTCTGTTTCGGATGAAAATAGAGTCATCTTCTCGTCGCTGCCATCGTTGCCGGTTTCACTTCCCAAGCTCTCGGTGCACATTTCGAGGCTCTTCCAGCTGAGGGCCATTGTCGGATAATATAGCTTCGCTGGAGGACGGCCATCCAGACCCGACAGAGCTTGGAAAATACTCCACCCACCAACACCACTCCCACCGCCATTTGAGGCCGCTGGAGAAGCTTCGGCGTCGGGGACGGTGACGGTGACGGCGGCGTCATTCTCTTCCATTTCTAGATGGGTTTCGATTGGTGGGTCAGAATGAGTTGCAGAGAGATCGGAATCTTCCTCCGCCGGCGGCGGGGAAGAGATGGATTTGGAGGGAGTTAATTTGAGTCTTAGAACACGTGGTTCGATTAGGCGAGGCTCAAGACATGATTGCAAGGCTTGATAGATACTCGACGACATTGTTTTGGAGTATCAAAATTGCAAATTGTAAACAGAGTAGAGGAAAAGATTGAGATTTGGGTATGAACAAATTGTCAAAAAGATTGCAACTTTGAAGCTTATATGAACTAAGAACACAAAAAAAGAGATGGGTTTTGGTTGGAATTGATGATACTTGGCTTGTGGAGCACACAAAATTGAGTTCAATATGAACAAACAAGTGGTTGAGGGCAAGAATTTATAGGGAAAATGAAAATAATAATAATAATAATTTAATTAATTCTTGCTCTTCTCCTATGTGGACAAGAACATAACTAATAGGCAAAATGTTTGTTGTTTGGTGGCAATGAGGACACGAGCTAGTGGGTAAGAATCCAAATTCACCCGTCGTCGATGATACTAACATTTTCGTGCATCTTGCAAATAAAGTTTCGGACTAGGTTGAGTTAGTTAGAAAAGTCTTTTGAATCAACTCCGCTGGTTAGGTTGGTGATCAAGCAACCCGAACAAAGTTTACAACCTAATCTAACCCAATTCTCTATTTTCAAGTTGGATTGTCACGTTATTCTTTTATTATTATTATTGTAAAAAATCTTATTTATCTCCAATTAATGACTAAAATATAATGAACCTTAGATATCAAATATTCACAAGCTACGACACATTAATAACCTTGACTACAAACGTCAAATATTCTTAATTTTCATAATAATATAAAAATAAGACTGGGTTGTAACCCGATTTTTGGTCAACTTGACAAAAAAAAAATGTAAATCGGTAAACGGACCTAATTTTTAATTTTTCAAAAATTCGGTCCAATCCAAACCGGAAAAAAAAAAAATAATAATAAAAATATCTAACCCAATCCATCCTTAATGGTTTGGGTTAGGTAGTTTAGTGGATCGAATTAGCAAGTTATATGAATATCCTTATTTTGATCTTACGGACTAATTTAGTCTGTGTATTTAGTTTCTCCCCCTATTACGAAATTTATAAAATGAGTTTGGATCATAGGCCAGATGTTGGGCCTAAAGCCCATTGAAGATACCCAAATTTCTAAAATGAGTTTGGATCATAGGCCAGATGTTGGGCCTAAAGCCCATTTAAGATACCCAAATTTATAAAATGAGTTTGGATCATAGGCCAGATGTTGGGCCTAAAGCCCATTGAAGATACCCAAATTTCTAAAATGAGTTTGGATCATAGGCCAGATGTTGGGCCTAAAGCCCATTGAAGATACCCAAATTTCTAAAATGAGTTTGGATCATAGGCCAGATGTTGGGCCTAAAGCCCATTGAAGATACCCAAATTTCTAAAATGAGTTTGGATCATAGGCCAGATGTTGGGCCTAAAGCCCATTGAAGATACCCAAATTTCTAAAATGAGTTTGGATCATAGGCCAGATGTTGGGCCTAAAGCCCATTGAAGATACCCAAATTTCTAAAATGAGTTTGATCATAGGCCAGATGTTGGGCCTAAAGCCCATTGAAGATACCCAAATTTCTAAAATGAGTTTGGATCATAGGCCAGATGTTGGGCCTAAAGCCCATTGAAGATACCCAAATTTCTAAAATGAGTTTGGATCATAGGCCAGATGTTGGGCCTAAAGCCCATTGAAGATACCCAAATTTCTAAAATGAGTTTGGATCATAGGCCAGATGTTGGGCCTAAAGCCCATTGAAGATACCCAAATTTCTAAAATGAGTTTGGATCATAGGCCAGATGTTGGGCCTAAAGCCCATTGAAGATACCCAAATTTCTAAAATGAGTTTGATAATAGGCCAGATGTTGGGCCTAAAGCCCATTGAAGATACCCAAATTTCTAAAATGAGTTTGGATCATAGGCCAGATGTTGGGCCTAAAGCCCATTGAAGATACCCAAAGTTATAAAATGAGTTTGGATCATAGGCCAAAATTGGGCCTAAAGCCCATTAAGATACCCAAATTGTGAGGGTGTAGGATATCATGTTTAAACCTCTTATTGGGCTTATGCCCCACTTTTGAGCAAAGTTTATATTATAATCATTAAAATATATATATAGTATATTATATAAATTACCATTTTAATTTCCATTTTTTTAATTAAAAAAATGTTCACTTTAATAAATAAAAAGATTTAGCTAAATCCATGCCACGTATTTGTTTATAACAATTTAAAAAGAAATTTCGTTAAATTCAAATCACATATTTTAATATATTATACATTAAATATCAATAATATCTATAATCCATTAAATATTGAAGAATACATTAATATATTATTTCCTTCCATATTTAATGTATAGACTAAACAAATATATGTTATAATAAAAACAATATGAATAATTTTAAAATTTAATTGATAAATTCTAATTAAATTATAAAATAAAAAATTAAAATTTAAGAAAAAAATCTTGAAAGACTAAATGTAATTATTTAAAAAATGTTACGGGTCGATACACATACATTAATAACTAAAATTTTGTTCAAATATTAAATATATATGAGTTGCAGTTATCGTTATAAACCTTAAATATTTATAACACGTAAGATTTTGTTCAAATATTAAATATATATGAGTTATGTAGGGTTGGTGGTAACCTATTTTTCGAAAGGCCGAATTCTATCTTATATTTTTATATTTTTATATTTTTAAGTAACATTTCAAGAAAGTGAAGCTAAAATCAACCCAAAATCTTGATCAGTATCAGTACATTATTGGAGGCGCCATTATCGTGGGCTTCAAATGCTCAGACCTTCTGAAATTTGAAGATTCTATTTCCGGAAAGTGATTGATCGCTCACGTTATTGGGTCGTTCTCATTCGATTGAAACGTGAAGTTTTGTGGGAAGATTCTATGTTTTGATCGGTTATTGTTTAAAGGGTTTTTTCGCTGCGGCTACGAGATGAGGAACAAATCGCAGGCGGCAAAATCTGGGGAGAATGCAGAATTGGTATGTGATTCGACTCTTATTCTTGTTCTGTTTGTTTCATGCATTTTTGTTTCGAACTCTTAAGCTGTTTGTGTTTGAGAATTACTCGTTTTAAATTTGAAGTTGAAGCTAGTAATGAACTTATAGAATGGAATGGAATGGAAGTAATGAAGTTAATGGTCTTTCCCTTATGTAATCTTAAGTGGATAGCAATGGCATAGTAACGAACTATAGACTCACATAATGATCGTCACTTTGTTGCTGAACTTTTTCTTCAATCGTCCTTTGGAACTGCAAAATTTTCATTATAGGGTTCTTTTAGGAGTTTAGTTGTGAGATCCCACATCGATTGGAGAGGTAAACGAGTGCTAGCGAGGATGTTGGACCTTGAAGGGGGTGGATTGTGAGATCCCACATCGGTTGGAGAGGGGAACGAAGCATTCTTTATAAAGGTGTGGAAACCTCTCCCTAGCAGACGCACATTCTATAACCTTGAGGGGCAGCCCGGAAGGGAAAGTCCAAAGAAGACTATATCTACTAATGGCAAGCTTGGACTGTTACAAATGGTATCAGAGCTAGACACCGGGCGGTGTGCCAGCGATGACGATAGGCTTCGAAGGGGGATGGATTGTGAGATCCCACATCAATTGGAGAGGGGGACAAGTGCCAACGAGGACTCTAAACTTCGAAGGGGGTGGATTGTGAGATCTCACATCGGTTGGAGAGGGGAACAAAACATTTTTTACAAGAGTGTGGAAACCTCTACCTAGCAGACGCATTTTAAAACCTTGTGGGAATGTCCGAAAGGGAAAGTCCAAAGAAGACAATATCTGCTAGTAGTGAGCTTGAGATGTTACATTAGCTACGTATGCTACTGGGCCATTTCATTTGTGGATGTTCTTTGTTCAAGAACGTTGCATCAATACCCTGCTCATGAAATCTTTATTGGTTGTTTGTGCTTGGGAGAGTCAATGTTTTAGACTTTATCTTGAGTATCTCAACTTTCATCCTTGCTCTGGTTGTGTGGTGTAATGTAACGGCCGAAGAACACCCCTAACAAATATTGTTCTCTTTGGACTTTCCCTTATGAGCTTCCCCTCAAGATTTTTAAAACGCGTCTAGTAGAGAGAGGTTTCTATCCCTTATAAAGAGTGTTTCGTTCTCCTCTCCAACCAATGCGGGATCTCACAGTTGCATTTGACACGCTCCTATGCTTTTTGTGTCTGTGTGCGCATTACCTTTATCCCTCTCTCGAGTAAATTTCGAAACAGTAGAATAACTTGTGCGTTTTGAATCAATCTGCTGAGTTAGTACTTCAAAATCAAAGCCCGAAAAGATCATTCGTTTTTGCAGAGCACAGAAGCAACACACGAAAGCACAATGACACCATCTGAGAAATCAGAAGGAGGTACCAATCCATCCTTGAAGAAAGTAAAATCACCATCCACCAGTCGAAGTTCTTCTAAAAAGAAAGTGAATACGGTCTCTATCCGTCGATCGGAGCGTATACAAAATTCTACGCCTCTAAACTTCAAAATACAGAACGTTGTTGAAGAGATTACTCTTAGTGAAAGTGATAAAGAAGACGAGTTACCTACTGACCATGAGAAAAGTTCTCCATCTCCTAGCAAACAGAATGGTTGGCCAGAGTTAATGATGGGGACAAGGAGTTTTGAAGCGAAAATTGACGATATTCTTAAACTATTCGAAACACATGGCCATACCTTAGACTCAATAAAGACAGAGGTACAGACCATTTTTTTTCTTTTCTGTTGTGTTCTTAGGTTGAATGATTTTGCTCATTAATTGGTGAATGGCAGGTAATCAAACGATCGTTCTTAGTCGAAACAGTACCTACGCCCGATATGAACTACAAGAGCATGTATATAGCTTCCCAGAAAAAGGTTCTCTTAGTGATATCCATCTTCAAATGTTTTTGATGCCAACTTGAGCTCATTAAAGAACCAACTATTTGGTTATGTGCAGATTGAAGAACTAGCTGAAGAAAATCGAGTGCTTACGAAAAAGTTGGAGAATGCTCACGAACGATTCGAAGCGGTCTGTATTATCGAATTCTACTTCTGCTAGCTATCGTGGTTATGATCTGCATGGACATTGTTTTGTTTTTTTTTTTTTTTTGTTTGAAAAGGAACCGAAGAAACTTTTGTTGATAGGATAAAAACGTCCATAAGAAAGTCCCAAAAGAGCCTTAGAACTAGTAAACAAGCGCCCAGCTCAGTTATAATAGTTAGAATTGTATAATGACTTGCCTACAAAAGAGGGTAGCAAAAACGTTGCTAGTGGATATTGTCCTTTTTGGACTTACCCTTTCGGATTTCTCTTGAAGGTTTTTAAAACGTGTTTTCTAGGGAGAGGTTTCCACACCTTTGTAAAGAATGTTTCGTTCCCCTCTCCAACTGATGTGGGATCTCATATTCCACTCCCCTTCGGAGCCCAATGTCCTCGCTAACACTCGTTCCCCTCTCTAGTCGATGTGGAATCTCACAATCCACCCTCCTGAAGGGGCTTAGCGTCCTCACTGGCACACTGCCTGATGTCCACCCCCTTTAGGGCTCAACATCCTTGTTGACACACCACCCGGTCTCTGGTTCTAATACCATGTGTAACAGGCCAAGCCCACTGTAGCAGATATCGTCCTCTTTGAGTAACCCTTTGGGGCTTCCTCTCAAGGTTTTTAAAATGCGCCCGCTAGGGAGAAATTTCCACACTCTTATAAAGAATGTTTCGTTCTCCTCTCCAACTGATGTAGGCTCTTACAGTAACAATCTCTCCTTACTATACAAGACATTCTATGGTTCCCCTCTCCAACTAATGTGGGATCTCACAATCCACTCCCTTTTGGAGCCTAGCTTCCTTGCTCACACTCGTTCTCCTCTTTAGTCGATGTGGGATCTCACAATCCACCCTTCGGATGGGCTTAGCATCCTCATTGGCACACCGCCTGGTGTCCACCCCCCCTTCAGTGCTCAGCATTCTTGTTGGCACACCACTCGGTGTCTAGCTCTGATACCATTTGTAACTGTCCAAGCCCACCGCTAGTGGAGATTGTCCTCTTTGAGCTTTCCCCTTGGGGCTTCCCCTCAAGGTTTTTAAAATGCATCCGCTAGGAAGAAGTTTTCACATCCTTATAAAAAATGTTTCGTTCCACTCTCCAACTGATGTGAGATCTTACTATAAGAATAAGCAAGACAAGATTCCTGCTCTACATTCTGTCAGCCATGTTAAGCCCACTTAGCATAAGAGATAATATGAATATCTCCACTTTTATAGCGATTTTAGCCGTTCCAAACCCAGGTTTTCCTTTGGTCCATTACGTATCGTCATCGGCCTCACGATTTTAAAACATGTCTACTAGGGAGAAGGTTTTCACACCCTTATAAAGAATGCTCTATTCCCCTCTCCAACCAACGTGAGATCTCACAATCTACTCCCTTGGGGGCCAATTTGCTCGTTGACCACACCGCCTAGTGTCTGGTCTTGTCCCATTTATAACAGCCCAAACCCACCGTTGGGAAATATTGTCTGTTTTGCCTCGTTACGTATCACAATCAGCCTCACGGTTTTAAAACATGTCTACTAGGAAAATGTTTCACACCCTCATAAGGAATGTTCCATTCCCCTCTCCAATCGATGTGGGATCTCACAGGTTGTCTTTTAAACTTTTCTCGATCAAATAGAGTCCAAAGGCATTAACAAAGTAATCTTGTTGAATTTGGTCCTTATTATACCAAAATATTCTCAATAATATCATCTGATTGAGCATTTTATATTGTTAATTTACATGCATCATTTTCTGAAAACAATGTGTTACCAGCACTAATGCCTATTTTGTGTTATGTCCATGTCTAAATTATGTCATGTCTCTGACTTTTTAACTTGTTGACTTTCTAATCTTTAAGCTAATTGATGTTTAGTGCCTAAAAAGTTTGTTAATTATTTACATGAGTTTATACAATACATGGGATTAGCAAACCGATAGCTCGGCATAAGCAAACTCACACACCGAACATAGGCATAACGATACTTATTTAGTTGTAAGATTGTGCAGTACAAGAACGGGAATCGTGATGCTTTTGTAATGTTGGAGAAGTTGAAGGATGTTGTTTTGATCTTGAACGGTTTGAGAGCTTCTGAATCGACTCAAGCTACGTCTCAAGTAGAACTCGACAAGGTTACGGTTCTCAACGCTGGCAATGTACCTCCTTCAAGCAAGAGAAAGAAGCTCACTAAACAAAAATGAACTTGAATATGAGTTCCTTCTTGATGCTTGTAACTCCTCCCTTGCTTGCTTACTCTTTAGTTAAGACTTTTGTTATGTTGCAGTTCTTTGTTTGTTGGACTATACAATACAATGGTGGCCCTTCTTAAAATATATTAAATTATAAATTTTGTTATTTATTTATTTTTTTTGTTCGAGATCTTAAATTTTTAATTTTGTATCTAATAAATTTAATTTTTTTTTGAAATTTTAAATTTAAATTTTATTTTTAATAAATTCTTAAATCTAATCGGTTAGTTAACTTAAAAAAATAAAAAAATAAATAAATAAAGTTTTTATTTTGGATATTGAGTAATTTATATTTAATAAAAAAATATAAAGAAAACACGTGGACAAAATGAATGAGGTGGCTTAGTTGTGTGCTGTCGGTGCCGACAGTAGTTGCCAGCTGCCACCGTCGGCGGCTGCTCTATTTTTATTTTTATTTTTTTAATATCATTTTTCATTCATTCCACTTCAATTTTTTTTTTTTTTTTAAATTGACGTATGTAATTAATATGTGCTGACTAGACTTTAATGATATGTTTTTGTTTGGTATATGCTGACTAGACTTTAATGATATGTTTTTTTAAAATTTGAAAACCAAATAAATCGACATAGATATTTTAAAATTTATATTTTTAATTAAATAATACTATTAATTCTAATTTATTCATTTTTAGATTAAAAAAATAGAAAATCGTCATCAAATAGAATAATTATTAGCGGTGGGTGCAATAATTGCTGCTACGATTTGCACCCATCATTATCTGATAGAATAAAATATTTGCACCAAATTATATAAATAATTAATTTCTTATTTCTTTCTTTCTAACTTAATTTTAAGCATTTTTATTAGTCTTTTTTTTTTTTTTTTTTGCAAAAGTGACCCACTAACTATGGCCTAATTATGATTATCCAAATATTATAGTTATGATTTAAAATACTCACATTTATATAATCATAATCTTAAAAATAGTTTTAGTTATTGTTTAAAATGTTTTTTTAAATAATAATAACTAAATTTGATTAACAAAACTATAATTAATGATGAATTAATGTGAGAAGTTGACCACTATTTATTGTGGAATGATATTAATTGTGTTTTTTTAAGTAGAAATCAATGAGAAAATTACAATTAACTTAATTTAGTTGAACTTTAATCTTACTAAAAATAAATCAATTTATTTGTTAAAAAAGGTCTAATAATTTATTTTATTTTCCCTCTCCAATTTTCAACTTTAAAATCTTTTTAAAACCATAATTTTTATTATTTAATTCTTATAAATATAAATGTTTTTCACCCTCTCCCTCGTTACCCGTCTAAACGAAGAACGTTTGGAGCTGTTAATCCGGTAGATAAAATAGACATCCGTCCCGAATCCGCCCGCCTCTTTTACACAACAAGACAATTTTTTTAAAAAAATAAATCTAAATATTTAAAGAAAAAAAGAAAAGAAAAACAAAATTTTGGCCTTTGGCCCTTTTATCTTTGCCTCTTAAACAGCGGCGATTGTTTGATAAATTCACCCCTAAAATTTTATTACATTATTTATGTCTCGCCCATTTGCTTTGTAGAGAGAGAAAGTTAGTGAGAGAAGTTCCTGTTCTTGTGAATGTGTGAAGATTTCCCGACTTCCCATGTGAAGAGAAAGAGAATCCTTGAACCCAATTTGTATCTAAAAAAGATTGAGCAGAAAAGCAAGGGAGAAGGAAGGAACATGGACGATAGAGCAGGAAACAAGCTTCATAACGCATTGTTTATCCTTCTTCCATCTCATTCAGATTCTCTTCCCCTTTCCCCTCTCATGTAGCGCTCGAACTAGATCCCATTGCTATCTCCCGTTTTCCCTCTTCTGTAAGTATGTTCTTCCTCGAATCTCTTCATGGATTGCTTCTTTTGTTCTTATCTTATCCGATTTTATTTTGATTTTAGTTGAAATTGTTGGATTCGTTGTTGTTTCTGTTTATGGGATCTAGATTTTGCGTGAATTGAATTTATTTCAACTTTTTAGGGCTAAAGTTACTCTGTGAAACTTGGATTTGGTTTTGGATTAGCTGTTTTGTTTTGGCTTGTTGAGTTGTGTGTTAATTCTTGTTAACTTCATGAATTTAAGTTGATTCATTATTGAACCCTTTCTAGTACGATAGAGTACACTGGAGATGATCTTGTTCCCTAATTTTTCCTTCTTGTTCTTGAAGATGAAAGTTGAACTGGACCTGCCTGTGTGTGTTTTTGAATTGAACTTAAGAACTTATTCCTGTTGGATAAACTTACGAACTTAAGAAAAAGGAGCTTGGAACCTCTAGGTTGAAACCTTAATAACTTAATATTAAGGTCATCCACTTAGATCCTTCAATCTGCTGCAGGGTTTTCTTGTGATTCTAGATAACTTGTTCTCATTTGAACTTAGTTTACACCAAATGAATTACGTTGTTTGATTAGATTCGAGTCGCCAGTCCCTCGTACTAGGGAAGGGTCCTCTCCATGCTCTAATGCCCTCACTGGATATGGACCGATTTGTCTCCCGATGTTCTGAACCCAACTAAGGGCTAACAACCCAACCCTTGGAACATATTGTTATAAATTACTTACCTCTACAACATTATGATATTGTCCACTTTGAGTATAAGCTCTTATGGCTTTACTTTTGGTTTCCCCAAAAGGTCTCATACCAATGGAGACGTATTCCTTACTTATAAACTCATGTTCAACTTCTTAATTAGTCAATGTGGGACTCCTCTCCCAACCGTTCTCAGTACATACTACAGCCCCAGGTGGCGAAGAGCCGACTTCGAGGTGCTAAACCTTCACGTCGATGTGAGCTCTTCGGGAAGATCAATATGTTATCCCTAGAGTAACTTTTATCCATTGAGCAACAGCCTTCCACTAGGCACTGTTGGATCGTTCACTAAGGCCGACTTTTGTCCCTGCTTGACGGGTGGGTCTTGCAGTCAAGCTCCCTCCTACCTTTGCACTCGAGGGCCAATCTCCGTTTGGTCCGAGGAAACCTTTGCATGCCTATGGTGAAAACCGAAAATTCTCGTCCCTGTCATTGATTTCGAAGTGTTTCCTCTGTTTATGATTATTCAAATATATATCAGTGAACTCTCTCCCGCATTGCTGTCTTGACTTCAATCACTTAAATTATTAGAGTTTTACCTTTCTCTTACGATATGTTACTATGCAGCTTGGAGATGGCAGCTTCAGAACTCGGAACCGAAGACATTTGTTCAGATATTTACGTTAATCTGGGGCTCAAGTCATTGCGCAAAGGAATCCGAAGAAATCCTCGGGTTCTCACACTTCTTTCTTCACTTTTGGAACGCTCTGTTAAAAAAAATGAATTGCTAATGGAGGCCACACAAGTCAAAGATGCTCGTACAATGTTTCATGGCCTTCGAGCTCCCACCCTGAGTATTCGGTGCTATATCGATCGCATCTTCAAGTACTTTGGCTGCAGCCCATCATGCTTTGTCATTGCAAATATCTATGTCGATCGATTTCTCAAGTGCATGGAGATTCAGTTAACTTCTCTTAACGTTCATCGGCTGCTGATAACGAGCATAATGCTGGCTGCTAAGTTCATCGACGACTCGTAAGCACCACCTTATAAATGATTCTATTTTGTGATATACATGCAACTCAATTACTCAATTTGCAGATTCTTCAACAATGCTTACTATGCGAAAGTTGGGGGCATAAGCACGACGGAGTTAAACAAACTGGAGATGAAGTTTTTGTTTAGTATAGACTTCAGACTTCAGGTGAATATACAGACGTTCGGTCGATACTGTTATCAACTCGAAAAAGAAGGCCCTGGAACACGTCAAATCGAACGCTCGATTCGAGCTTGTAGCATTAAGGAGATCTGGTCAAATAAAGATGAGAAATCCCATGCTTCTTCCACAACAGCCAGATGATTTTTTTTACCACAAACCACTGTATGTAAAATCACTACCTTTTCTTTTTACATTGCTTCATTTATGATTCGTTCAGAAATTATTTCCAATCTATCCTTTATGTTCTTGTGACTTCCTTGTCTTCATTTAAGCATTGGTGAGACTCCATTGTTGCAGTAGAACAGCACTGATTGAATTATGTTCTATATATGTTTATAAATTGAATGCTACTTTTGCGAGTAAAAGCGGGTTTTTTTTTAATTACATATGAATGAGAATGAAGAGACCTGAACATATGATTCGGGGATATATTGGTGGCTAACTGCTTGAACTATGTTCTACTCGTAATAATTCTTTTAAGATTAAGAATTATACTGTGAAATTTCACGTTGGTTGAAGAAGGGAACAAACTATTTTTTTCAAGGGTGTGGAAGTCTCTTTCTAGTAGGTGCTTTTTAATAATCGAGAAGCTAACGATGATACGTAACGAGTTAAAGTGAACAATATCTACTAGTTGTGGGTTTGGATTAAAGCACTGACCCATGCCAAACTATAATAGTTTGGTAAAATAAGTAAAGAAAAGAAAAGAAAATGATGAACTCATAAGTCATACCCAAGCAATCTTGATAATAATTGATTAATTTTATTTTTAGAGGAATTAATATGAAAATTATGATGGCATAACTTCTAAAGTATGACATGCTTTCAATTTATAATTATATTATATAGAGAGAGGAAATAAATATACTTATATATTAAAAAAAATATATGTTAGTTCTATTGGCGTAAATGATATATGTTTATAATTACAAAATTATTTATATAAAAATTTATATACATTAAAGTATTTTCTTTCTAAAATTTAATTTGATTTTACTTATTTCAATTTAAGAATAATAGCTTGTAGGAAATGTCTCTGAAGATTCCACTGTTGTTGGGCCGAAACTTTAAAACCCAGTGGGCTTTTATTGGTAGTTAGAGCCCATTAAATATTTCATATTGAAAATGATATTTTTCAATTTTGAAATAAAATTTTTATTTTTTTGCTTGGGATCTCACAAGGGTGTGAAAATCGACACTGGTATGCAACCAGTTAAAGCGGATAATATCTGCTAGCGGTGGGCTTAAGTTGTCACAAATGATAGAATAGGCAAACACGGAGTGACATGCCAACGAAGATGTTGGACCTCTAAGAAATGGATTGTGAGACTAATGATGACACGTAACAGATCAAAGCGAATAACATCGATAACAAGTGGATATGAGTCGTTACCTCATATTTCTTTTTACATCGTTCTTTCTTCTATTAATAGACGAAGAATGTTGTAAGATAAGAAATTAAAGCATCAATAATTTTTGGAAATCTTTGAAAGATATTGATATTTTAATTGATATATTTGTCAATATTTTTGGTTGGGAATATAGCACCTAAATAATTGAACTTTTTTTATGTTCAATAATTGGGTTGTTGGATATTGGGTATCCTTTTGTTTTTGTACTTTGTTTTATTGCTTGTTTGTTTGTGTTGTAATGACTAACACTCCCAACCCCATTTCCCATAACATACCAAAATAAAATTGTCCTATTTTATTATTCATCAAATAATCCATGTTCATTTTGGCTCTCAACAGCACGACTCATACACTTTTACATCGATTTGGATCTTTATTGGGTTAAAACGTCCTTAAAACGCTAAACTGAAGCTAACCCAGTGATTTTAGCACTTATGGGGCATACTAATGCCAGCGGGAGCTCACAATGAGATATATCAACTTAGTAATCCTAATGAAATTTCACGATGATATCCCTAAAAAAGTGGGATTGAAAGTAAAACTCATAATAAATTCCAATCAAGGAGTTCATATTCTATAAAAAATGAAAGAATCATATCTCACTATAATCGACAGAGAGTAATCAAATAAACTTCGTAATTCTCACTCCTCGAACATAACACACGCATGTAAAGTATCAACATATGCACGCACGTATACACGTTTGTTTATTAGATTACTTACAGTACGAAGATAGTTCTAACAGACTGACAATTATTTTTAAATAAAACGTGACAATTCTTTCACACAAATTGAGTTGTATCGAACTAGATCGTATTCCAAGATTGATATGTAAAAATGACTTTATAAAAATAAAAAAAAAATATTAAGAAAATTAAAAAAAAATGGAAATTATTATATAGAAGGCAAATCTCATAACAAAGAAGCTACGTGTTGGGTTTCCTTCCACGTGTTGGTGTAGGTGGAGCCTAGTCAACGAAATTAAAATTGTTTAAATTAAAATTTAATTAATGGTAATAAAATTTAAGCAGAAACAAACAAAAGTTTCACGAGATCAGATGCTAGATAATAAATTAATAAAAAATTAGTTTTTCCACCTCACCAGGGTTTTGGCTTCAGGGGAAAATAAAAAATTATGACGTGGCCACGTGACGAACTGCGTCCTTACTGTGTACCTGCCACCATCAGAGTACTGCTCCTACCGACCAATTCCCAGTACAGTACTACACTTGTTCCCTACACTTGCTTCCTCGTGTGTCATTTTTTTTTATTCATTGTTTAAATAAATTAAAAAAAAAAAGAAATTAAAATATCCTTTTACAACATCAAAAGTTATTATAAATTAATTATTAACTCATTTAAATAAAATTACGAGTTTTTTTAAGCAATGTCGCAGTTCGATCTCGTTTGTAAAATCTAATTATTATTTATTAATATTTTAAATGAAATAATAATCGAGTTAGAAAAAGGCGTTGTCATGAAAATCGACCTGTTTTTCAAGGCATTGAAAATGAACGCTCGTTCCGAGCACTATTTATCCTTTTTTATTATTATCTTTAATAAATAATAATAATAAGGAAAGTAAAAGCATGATTTTGTTGGGAATCAATTTTAATGAATGCTAATTAATTGGATTTATAGGGAAAAATGAAATGATTAAATAAAATCGATTTTTGATACTTTACAGTTCTCTAGATTACTTGGAAGCGCGTTTGACCCAATGCCAGTTGTCTCATTTGTTGGAGAAAAAAGTCAAAAACCAATCTCAGCCGTCGGATTCCATTAATAAAAGCATGCACACGTGGATCATATAACTTGCATGGACTCCACGTGTCCGTGCACATAACCTCGGAAACGACGCCGTTTTTTTTACAAATAGTTCCTACAATTTCTTTCGACTTCAATAGCCACTCTTTTTTTTCTTTTTTATTACGTTTTAGTTTAATTAATCAAACGCGGAGATTTTTTTAATAATGTTTTTGTATTGTCGAATTTAATGTGGTCGGCTCAATAAGCTAAAATAAATTAATAAGTATTATTAGAAGAAAAAAAATATTAAATTAAAAGCTTAGAAGGATCTTACCACCTTCCTAAATTATTATAAATTTTTACGTATAATCTTCGTATAAATTTAAATACTAAATTATATATTTTTTTAATTTAATAGTTCGATGATTTTAAGAATATAGTTTCATATTAGTCTCGCGAATCTAGAACAAGTAATTAGCTTGATAATAAAGCAACAAATTTGACTAACTTAAATAATTAGACAATAATTATTATTTATTTTTAAGAGGTACATAATAATCTAACTTAATTATCATTTAATTTATAAAGAGAATTAACTATTTCCTACCTAATAAAAAAATGATGTTGGGAGTAGTTTTAATAATAATTATAAAAAATTAACTCTAAATACAACATTTTATTATTAACTTTTTCCATTTTTTTTATTTTGTTAATAAATTTAAAGTTTAAGCATTAATTATCTTGTAGTTTGTTTTATCTCACTCAAATCTATGTGTGAATTTAACTTAAAATTAGAGAGAATGAACAATTTCCTACAAATTAAAAATATCTTCGAGAATGAAGAGAACTAATAATACTTTAATATTATTATTAAAAATTAATAATATATATATATATACACATTAAAAAATTAATGACATGAGCGAGAAAGCACGTGTGTATGACTATGAAAGAGGACACACGTGTGAATGGTCATAGCTTTTCTCAAATTATTATTATTTTCGTATAGCTGGTTTTATTTTAATAGGAAATATTTTTTTAAATAAATATTAATTACAAAACTCAAATTATTTTTTTATTAGACCAGACATAATGTTTTACGAAGATTAAAACATGCATGGATGAATATTTTGGAAATGTAATTGTTTTTTTAAAATAAAGTAGTCAGTTTAATGACTTGTTGAGGTAATTCTAATTCGGATAATAAAATGATTAATATTTTGTGATGATAAATATATAAAAAAAAATCAATTCATTTATTTTCAATAACTCAATCGGAAAAACTCTGAAATTAAATATGTTTGGCTCGAAACAATTTTATGTTTGGATGTCATCTTATGAAATTATATTTGAAGTATGTGAGTAAAGACAAAGTCATCTATTAAATCTATATTCGAATTCTTGTCTTTTTCCAAAAATAAATATTTGATTATAAATTTGCTCGAATGTCAAATAATATGAATAATTCTATATACAAGGGAATATTTATATGGAAAATGGATGAATTATTTATGTTAAGCTTTTATAGTTTAATTTCTAGCATTGGGTGCTAAAACATTATTAAACTAATCACTTGTAAATTTTATGTTGAATTTAATCACATTTATTAGTAGTAGGGCCAATGAAATTAAATTAATTTGTGAAATTAAATTAAATTAAAATCTTAATAAAATAAATCAAAATCTATATGCTAAAATAGAATTTAATTTTGATAGTATGAAAATGTTAATTAAAAATATTATATAAAATAGAGATTTGTAGAGAGAGAAAGGGAAGTGGGAGCTCCATCCCCATCGTATCCTACTTCGAGCCCACCGACATTTTCTCCATTGATCTTTTCTATTGCCTTTTTTTTATTTATATTTTTTTTGTAAAATATATATTTTTAATTAAATAAATGTTAACAGTTTAAGACAGTAACTTCCAATTAACTGAAGAGAGGTTAAAATGTGAACCTGAGATGGGTTACATGTTAAAATTAAAAGATGAAATAAATAAAAATAATAACATTAATAACAATAAATTTTTTTCCTTCCTAAAAAAAGAAAAAAAATATTTATATTTATATAATACTCGATCCTAACGGCCGGATAGTGGGCTGACGGCCGCTAGATTTTTGCACGGGCTCGGCGGCAGGCTGCTCCGCCCTGAAGCCACCAGCCGTTGCACGAAGCTCTCAATTCTCTGCCCGTTACTCTCTGTTA